ATATTTTATAATTAATTTATATAAAAATTATAAAAATTAATATTTATTTTAATGTTATTAATATATAAATAAATTTAATTAATTAATTAATTAAAATTATTATTTGTTCTTTTTTTTTTGAAAAATTTTATCATAGGGCGGATTCAAAACCCGTAAAAGAAAGAGGGATGTGCACTTTTCAGTGGCTTTAGTCACTGGGCTACATGGGTCAAGTGCATTATTTGTTCTTTTTGTATAAATTAAATATTAAAAAACACATTAATTATATTCATTAGCTTATACCTAACCATGCGTGTTAGAAAAATCTAACGAGAAAATCACAGCCTCAGATTTTCTCGAAACCATAGTGGCGGCTATTAGAGTCCGCCATCATCTACGTACCATACCCTTATCTATCGTTAACCACGGCCATAAAAAAAGTTTAAAACTCATCCAGCGGGTCAGATCTTTACATGTGGTTTAACTTGGATAGCAGACAATTTACAAAACACCATCAACTAGACTGTAGTGGTGATACACCCAACTTAATCTAATGTTTTAAAATTCCACCGCTGCGAAGCATCCCTGGGGGAGAAAAAAAACCCATGAGAAAACAATTAGCCATGTTTTACCGGCTTGCCGTAGTGCTGTGTCTCCTGGTGAACTCAGTCGCCGGAGTTGTTAACTTCACCTATAATGGGTTTCGGTCGGTGAATTTGACCCTCGATGGTGCAGCTGAGGTCACTTCCAATGGACTCTTGAAGCTCACCAATGATACAGATCACCAACAGGGTCATGCTCTCTACTCTTCTCCTGTGAAACTCAAGGACTCCACAAACGGCACTGCTTTCTCCTTCACAACCACCTTCGTCTTCGCCATACTCTCACAATACCCCACTATCGGCAGTGACGGAATGGCTTTTGTAATTTCACTAAGCAGAGGCCGCCCGGGTGCTCTGGCCAATCAATATCTCGGCCTGTTCAACGAGAGCAACAATGGAAATGAAACCAATCGTGTTGTTGCGGTGGAACTCGATACGATAAAGAATGTCGAGTTCGAGGACATAGATGACAACCATGTCGGAATTGATGTTAATGGGTTGACGTCCAATGTGTCCCATGGAGCTGGGTATTATGTGGACGGCACTGGCCAATTTATAAACCTGACGCTGATCAGCGGACAGCCAATGCAAGTTTGGGTAGAATACAATAGTCTAGAACAGAGAATGAATGTCACCTTAGC